CAACAGCATTGCTCCTGTTACCTTTGTCCGCTGTTCAACCAATCGTTTTTTTACTGCCCTCCTTGGAGATATCAACACTCTCAATGTTCAGTACAGAGTACCGGTCTGAGAGTGCTACACTATTGGGGGCATTCTGCCCTACCCGTCTCCTCTTCCTACCATGCCGGACAGTCACCCAGTCATTTTCCCTCTGAGCCCTCAGTGTATGGGGTGGGGTGGCCACCTCCTGACGTGTCCTGGTCCATCAAATACTCACATTCGTGATGGAATAAATCTTCACTTAGAAGAATATGGGTTAATTAGGGACAGTCAGCACAGATTTGTTAAAGGCAAATCTTGTCTAACAAATCTAATAGAATTTTTCGATGAGGTAATGGAGAGGGTGGATAAAGGTAGTGCAGTTGATGTAGTTTATATGGACTTTCAAAAGGCAGTTGACAAAGTGCCACGTGAAAGACTTGTAAGAAAGATAGAAGCCGTTGGTATAAAAGGGACAGTGGCAGCGGATCCAGAACTGGCCGGGAGACAGAAAGCAGAGAGTTGTGGTGAACGGCTGCTTTTCTGACTGGAGGGAAGTGTACAGTGGTGACCCCCAGGGATCGATATTAGGACCACTGCTCTCCTTACTATACATAAATGATCTGGACGTGGGTATAGCATGTACCATATCCAAGTTTGCGGATGACACAAAGTTAGGTAGGGGAGTAAACAGTGAGAAGGATAGGAGCCAATGCAGGAAGACATAGACAGAATGGTAAGATGGGCGACACATGGCAGATGAGTTTCAATGTGGAGAAATACGAGTTAATTCATTTTGGTAGAAAGAATGAGGGGAGGCAATATAGGCTGGTAATACAATCTTAAGGGGGTAAAAGAACAGAGAGACCTGGGGGTGCAGGTAAGTGAATCCTTGAAGGTGGCAGGACAGGGAGATAAGGCTGTAAAAAGGGCATATGGGATACTGGGCTTTATAAATAGGGGCATAGAGTACAAGAGTCAGGAGGTTATGATTAACCTATATAAACACTGGTTAGGTCTCAGTTAGAATACTGCGCCCAGTTCTGGGCACTGCACTATAGGAAGGATGTTAAGGCATTGGAAAGGGCAGAGGAGATTTACGAGGATGATATCAGGAATGGGGGACCGTGATGATGAGGAAAGGCTGGAGAGGCCGGGATTATTCTCATTGGAGTAGAGAAGGTTACGAGGAGACATAACAGAGGTCTTCAAATTCATGAGGGGATTTGATAATAATAATAATCCTTGCATTTGATACAGCGCTTTTCACATCGGGAGGACATCCCAAAGCGCTTCACAGAACACACTGTAAAGTGAATTTGACTGTATATTTGTGGGCGAACACGGCAGCCAATTGCGCACAGCAATGTCCCACAAACAGTCGTAGATTGAAAATAATCAATTTATTATTGTTTTTGGTTTTGGAGGGATTATTATTAGGCTCTGTGTGGAGTAAGGAAACTTGCCCAAGGTTTCGCCCTGCCTGATAGGTTAGAAAGGGAAAAACTTTGTCCACTGGTGGGTGTGTCGGTGACTCAAGGACACTGATTCAAAATAGTCTCTAAAAGAATCCGAGGGGAGGTGAGAAGAAATGTTTTCACGCAGCGAGTTGTTCGAATCTGGAACGCATTGCCTGAAAGGGCGGTCGGGCCGATTCAATAACTACTTTCAAAAATGCAGTGGATGAGTATTTGAGGAGGACGGGTTTGCAGGTTATGGGGAAAGGGCTGGGGAGTGGGATTGACAATACGTTGCTCTTCTCAAAGAGCCGGCACAGACTCGATGGCCCGAATGGCCTCTTTTTGTGCTGTATGATTCTATGATTCTAAATCTCCCCTTCCTATTCAAGATCCTTGAGAGAGCCGTTGCCTCCCAGCTTCGCTCTTTCCTCTCCGCTCACTCCCTCCATGAACCCCTCCAATCGGATTTCCATGCTGCCCACAGGTCTGGTCAAGGTCACAAACAACATCATGACCATGTGCAACCAGGCTCCCTATGCTTCCTCGTCTTCCTTGACCTCTCTGCTGCCTTTGACACCGTGGACCACTCAATCCTCCTCCACAGCCTCTCCTTTCACCTCAACCTTCAAGGTTCTGTCCTTGACTGGTTCAGGCCCTACCTTTCACACCTCCTCCACTTCATTGCGGCAAACGGTCTCTATTCCAGCCCCCGCACCATCTCGTGCAGTGCTCCTCAGGGCTCAGTCCCCACCTCTTCACCCTCTACATGTTGACGTCATCCGCAGACATGGGGTAAATTTCCACATGTATGCGGATGACACCCAACTCTACCTCTCTGCCTCCACCCTGAATTCCAGGACTACTGAGGTCCTGACCGACTGCCTGGCCGACATGAAGTCCTGGACGAGGTCCAACTTTCTCCAAATCAACGTCAGCAAGACCAAGGCGCTCCTGATTGGCTCGCGCCAGCGTCTCCACACCTCAGGCGCTGGCAGCATCAGCCTCCACGGTTGCACACTCAACCTCACTAAGCCAGTCAGGAACCTGGGGGTCTTGTTCGACCCTGAACTATCCTTTCTCCCCCACATCCGCTCCATGACCGGCACTGCCGACCACCACCTCCGCAACATTGTCAGACTCCGCCACTGCCTCACCCCTCATTCTGCCCAAACCCTCACCCACACATTCGTCACCTCAAGGCTTGATTACAGGAACTCCCTCCTCATCGGCCTTCCCAACTCTTCCGTTCACAATCTGCAGATCATACAAAACTCTGCAGCTCATGTACTCTCACGCACCAGGCTCCGCGACCCCATCACTCCCACCCTCGCCCGACTCCACTGGCTTCCCATCCCCCAGAGTATCAAGTTCAAGATCCTCGTCCTCACCTTTAAGGCCATCCATGGCCTTGCCCCCTCCTAACTCTCTGACCTGCTGACCCCCTACCAACCTGCCCGCTCCCTCCGTTCATCAGGCTCCGGCCTACTCCTTGTCTTCCGCCCGACTTGCCCTACCATCGGTGTCCGGGCTTTCAGCCTCTCTGCCCCCACACTCTGGAACTCCATCCCACGGTCCCTTTGCCTCGCTTCCTCCCTTGCATCCTTCAAGGCCGATCTCAAGATCCTTCTCTTCCACCGTGTCTTTGGTCTCCCTCCCACCTCTCTGCCTTCCCCCACCCCTCCCCCATGCTCGCGCCCCGACATCTGACTGTTCAGCGCTTTGGGACGTCCTCCTGATATGAAAGGCACTCTATAAATGTAATTTTGTTGGTGTATATCACAGGCTCCCTCACAGTCTCTTGCTCTGTCTCTCCCAGAAAACACAGTCACTAAACGTTATATATATTTTTTCTCTCAGTCTCTCATTCTCTCTCAGTCTCTCCCACAAAACACACAGTCACTACACATTTCAGAAACTTCCCTCCTTATCGGCCTTCCCAACTCTTCCCTTCACAAGCTGCAGATCAAGCAAAACTCCGCAGCTCGAGTACTCTCGCGCACCAGGCTCCGTGACCCCATCACTCCCACCCTCGCCCGACTCCACTGGCTCCCCATCCCCTAGAGGATCGAGTTCAAGATCGTCGTCCTCACCTTTAAGGCCATCCATGGTCTTGCCCCCTCCTACCTCTCTGACCTGCTGACTCCCTAGCAACTTGCCCGCTCCCTCCGTTCAGCGGGCTCCGGGCTGCTCCATGTCTCCCGCCCGACCCGCCCTACCAACGGTGGACGAGCTTTCTCCCTCTCTGCTCCTGCACTCTGGCACTCCTTTGCCTCGCTTCCTCCCTTGCCTCCTTCAAGGCTAGTCTCAAGATCCTTCTCTTTGATCCTCTTCGGTCACCCTCCCACCTCTCTGCCTTCCCTCACCCCTACGCCACCCTTGTACGGGCCCTGACACCTGACTGTTCAACGCTTTGGGACATCCTCCCGACGTGAAAGGCGCTCTATAAATGTCATGTTGTTGTTGTTGTTGAACCAGTCAAGGACAGCACCATGGAGGTTGAGGTGGGAGGAGAGGCGGTGGATGAGGATAGAGTGGTGGACAGTGTCGAAGGCAGCAGAGAGGTCAAGGAGGACGAGGAGGCAGAGGGAGTCCTGGTCGCAGATGGACAGAATGACATTTGTCACTTTGACCAGGGCTGTTTCTGTGCTGTGGACGGCACTGAAACCCAATTGGAGGGGTTCGAGAAGCAAGTGGCGGGAAAGGAAGGAGCGAAGCTGAGAAGCAACAATGCATTCCAGGACCTTGGAGAGGAAAGGGAGGTTGGAGATGGGGCAGTACTTTGTGAGTAGAGATTAACTAATTGTACCAAATTCTTCTTTGAATACTTCCCACTGTATGTCCAAAGGGTTTACCCATTTAACAGTTCAGTGCAGTTTACCATAGTTAATTCATTTCTCATCCCTTCGAAGTTTGCCTTCTTTAAATTTAAAATCTTGGATTGCAACTCTCCCTCCTTGTGACCACCTCTAATAGAGGTGTTCAAAATTATGAGGGGTTTTGATAGAATAGAAGAGGAGAAACTGTTTAGAAAGAAACTGTAGCCAGTGGGCACAGCAGGGGACACCGATTTAAGATAATAATAATAATCCTGGCATTTGATATAGCGCTTTTCACGTCGGGAGGACGTCCCAAAGCGCTTCACAGAACACACTGTAAAGTGAATTGATTGTATATTTGTGGGCGATAATTGGCAAGAGGGGAGACGAGAAGAATTTTTTTTACCCAGAATGCTGTTATGGTCTGGAATGCACTGCCTGAAATGGTGGTGGAAGCAGATTCAGCAATAGCTTTCAACTGGGAATTTCATAGGTATCCTGTTACTGGGTAAGAGCAGGGGAGTGGGACTATTTGGTAGCTCTTTCACAGGCACAAACACAATGGGCCGAAAGGCCTCCTTTTGTGCTATAAGATTCTATGATTCTATTTTACTCTGAGTTAAAAAAAAAATTTGGTTGAATTCCTAAGTAGCCAATAAAGTTCCCCTTATTGAGCTGGATTAGACCAGAGATCTGCAGTACTTACAGGGGTAACATTTGTTCCTGTAACAAATCGCCGGTAGAGGGCAAATCCCACATCAGTGGCCACTGGAAATAAACACATTAACTTCTTATTAATTCAATGATTATGGTAATATCCCAAAGTACAGACCAATAAAATTTTAAATATTTCTGATACCTGGTTCCCCTTGAGGTCACCATACAGAAATACCACCTGCAGTTAATGCTAGATGTCAAACAGAGATTTTAAAAGAAGCAGAACCAATGGTTGGAACAAACCAAACAATAGATCTCCATTGTAAGGCAATGGTCTTCTTTGTGTTCAGAACAGCAACTAGGTTAGTTGCATACAATTTCTTCATCTTGTCCTAATTACCTGCAAAGAATTACATAATAATAACAATCCTTGCATTTGATACAGCGCCTTATCACGTCTTCTAGACGTCTCACAGAATATACTGTAAAGTGAATTGATTGTATATTTTGTGGGCGAAATACGGCAGTCAATTGCACACAGCAGCGTCCACAAACAGTCATGGATTGAGTGACCAAATTATTATTTATCTTTAAATTTTTTTGTAAGGGATTATTACCCCCAGATAAGCGACCCGCCAATTGGCTAACAATGGGTTCCTACTTACTGCTCGGTGAAGAAAAGTGCATGGAGTAAGGAAATTTGCTCAATGTTTCACCCCACCCGGGAATCGAACCCAGGTCCTCTCACTTGTCAGGCCAGTGCTCTAACCACTTGTCGGTAATATATTAAAAGAAACAACAACAAAATGACATTAGTATAGTGCTTTTCACATCAAGAGAATATCCCAAGGTGCTGAACGATCAGTGTTTTGGACCCGAGCTGGGGGTCAGGGATTGAGGAGGGTGTAGCACAGGGGGGAAAGGAGGTTAACCGAAACCACAGTCAAAGAGGAGAGTCTTGAGTTGGGTCTTGAAGGAGATGAGGGAGGGGGCAAGGTGGAGGGACTGCAGGATGGAGTTCCAAAGGGTGGGGGCAGAGTGGCAGAAAGCCTGCCCACCAATGGTGGAGCAAGCAAGGCAATGGACGTCAAGTAGGCCGGAGCCTGCTGAGCGGTTGGAGTGGGCAGGTTGGTAGGGGGCTAGGAGGTCGCAGAGATAGGGGGGAGCAAGGCCATGGAGGGCTTTGAAGGTGAGGACCAGGATCTTGAACTGTAGCCAGTGGAGTCGGGTGAGGATGGGGGTGATAGGGCCGTGGAGCACGGTGCGGGGGAGGGCACGGGTTGCAGAGTTCTGGATGATCCGCAGCCTGTGGAGGGAGGAGTTGGGAAGTCGACAAGGAGGGAGTCGAGCCTGGATGTTATGAATGTGTGTATGAGGGTCACTTACCTAGAAGGAAAATCGAGGCTAATCTAAAAATACCAAACAATGGTACCATTTGTTTAAAATTCTGAAAATAAAGTTAAAAAAGAAACATTAAAACTTTGAAATAAAAATGAAATATTTTGTTTCTGAAAAACAGTTTTAGTTTTGAATAAAGAAAGTTCTGCCAGACACTTAGAAAGCAGGAGTGATGCACATTTATTTCTGAAGGTTACAGAATTTAACCAATATGGGTAGAAATACCTGGGAATAAATAGATTTACTCTATTTCAGAGTTTCAGAAATTCACAAATTTTGAGGCTGATTTACTGTCTGAATTTTTTTTTGTCATTTTAGAACTACAGAAAATAGCCTTCAAAATTAAGACTAAACACAACAAATTTGCCTAATTTTGGATGCTCTGAAATACTAAGTAATTAGAATAAATCTAGACTCGAGTGAAATAACATCCCAACAGTATAAATGAACTCAGATCAATCTAGAGATAAGGAAAGGAGGAACTCATCAAGTGTTATTGTCACAGTTTATAACAATAGTTAAATAGGTTGTTTCCTCACACTTAAAATTCTACAGAAAATTTTCGAGCAGATACATGACATACAACGCTGTTTAACCACAGTTTTCAGTTGTTTAGCACCTTTCACTTTAGGAGGGTGTTGCAAAGTTCTGATTGGGCCCTCAAATTGGGGAGAGGGTAGGATCATAGAATCACAGGTCCTACAGCACAGAAGGAGGCCATTCAGCCCATCTTGCCACACTCTTACACCATAGCCCTGCAAATTTTTCCTTTTCAAGTACCTCACTCCCTCCCTTCCTATTTTCAGGTCTCTGCTGAAGACCTTTATTTTCGACAGCACCTTTGATCACTTTCGCCCCCTCCCCCTGGCTCGGTCCTGGGATCCGTTACTGTGAATCTCTGAGACGCCGTCCGGCGTGGAGGGCGCTATATAAATCCAAGTTGTTGTTGTTGTTAACTATCCAATTCCCTTGTAAAATATACTATTGAATCTGCTTCCATTACCCTTTCAGGCAGTGCATTCCAGATTGTTAGGAAGGAAGCTAAAAGGAAAGATTTCAAATTGTATGTTACAAAATTTACATGCTAGGAGGAAAGACAGAGGGTAACTAGGCAGAACAATGCGTGGCTAAGGCATTGGTGTAGGGAGTCAGGCTTTTGTTTCCTCAAATAATGGGGCACCTTTTGGAATAGGGGGCATCATATACAGATTGGATGGGCTCCACCAAAGGGGTGTGGAAGCGTTGGCAAGCAGGATAGATAGTTTAGGTAGGGTCTGTTTAAACTAGGCACAGGGGTGGTGGCGATCAGTTTAAGAGAGGACCCAAACCGATTAGGGAAAACCTTAAGGCTTGGACCAGTATAACGGGTCTAACTCCAAAGGTTGGTGAAAAAGAAACAAAAATTGCTGATAAAGTGAATGGGAAAGGCAAAAAAAAAATCCATGGTGCTGTACTTGCAAGTACTTTCAGCCATATTCTTTGGCACCCATCAACAACAACAAGATTGCATTTATAGAGCGCCTTTCACGTCGAGAGGACGTCCCAAGGCACTGGACGGTTGGGTCGGGACCCGAGCAGGGGGGAAATGGTCAGGGTGAGGGGAGTGAAGGGAGGGAGCGAGGAGGGGGTAGAGAGTCGAGAGGGGAGGTGAAGGCACGGTTGAAGAGAACGTCTTCTCTCCTGCTGGTCTGACCTCCTCAACCTCCGTGGGCTCTCCCTCAAACTCGCTGAACCCGTGCTCAACTTAGGCATCAGGTTTGATCCCCAGCTTTCCTTTCTAACCCCATCCGTTCTGTGAATAGGACCACTTTTTTCCACCTCCATCACATTGCCCGCCTTCATCCATACCACACAACCAATGCAGACGAAATCCTCGCCCACGCCTTCATCTCCACCATACACAAAATTCAACTCATTCAAAACTCCACTGCCCCTGTACAAAACTCTGTACCCCCATCACACCAGCCCTTGCCAGGTTTCCTTGGTTCCTAATTACCAAACGGATCGATTTCAAGATTCGCTTACTCATTTTCAAATCCCTTTATGCCCCTCACATCTCCCTACCTATCCGACCTGTTTACCCCCACTCCACCACCGCTCGGCTAGCTCTCAGCCTCCTGTTTGTCGGTCTCCTCCTTAAGCACTCCGAGACGCCATCCAGCATGAAGGGCACTATATAAATGCAAGTTGTTGCAGTTGTTGTTGATTGAGAGTATAGAGAGGAGGGCAACCAAAATGACTGAGTGGATGGAGGGACTGAACTATGAAGAGCAATTAGATCAAACTGGGCATGTTCACGCTGGAGAGAAGGTTGGGGTGCGATATGATTACGGTCTTTAAAATTCTAAAGGGATTAGATAATGTAGACCATGATAAGATGCTTTATTTTATACTGAAGAGTAGAACTACAGGATATGGGTAAATTCAGAACAAATCTGCAAAAACACTACTTCAGTGAGTGAGTAGTAAACATATGGAACAGGCTCCCTTGGGAGATGGTGGAAGCAGAAAGTCTCGATTCTTTCAAGAATAATCTATATACATTTCAGTTAAGAAATAAAATGTCGGGATGCCAGGAGGGTGGAAGGTGAACTGTATCTTCTTTGGCCTAGCAAATTTCTATGTTCTTATAATCTGAACAATTCAATTTCAAAGTGAGGGCATGTGTCATTAAGGCTTTGTCCTTCTACACCTAATAACTTATTGATGGAAGAGACTGCCGCACAGCACAGTGAAGAATTCAACCATAAATTAATAGATTCCCAATTAAACCAGGAATAATGAGAAGCAGACTTCTGGCCTAATCAAGAACTGATAAAAATTATTTATGCGTCTCCTGAATGAGGCACTGGACAGGCAAAAACTCTGTTCATTTTCCTTAGTTCTGTTTTTCTTATTTCCCTTTAAAGGAGGAATGTTCAGAGATTACAGTGCCATTTACACTGAGCCGTTTGCAAATACAAATACATTGGAATATTTTCAGTCAGCCAAACAGGATGCCTCACCACTTTTTTAAAAAAAAATCAAACTTTCTACCACAGGAATGCTACAAAACATGCTTTCAACTTCTATGGCCACAGTGTCTGGAACTCCCAGCTTCAATACATTTTTTCCCCTCTTTGTCCGTCTTCAAATCCCATCCAAAGACTTCTCTTTGATTGTGCTTTCAATCACCTCCCCTCTTTCCAGCTTAGCATCAAACCATGCCACTGTTAAGCACTCCAAGACGCTGCCTGCATGAAGATTGCTATATAAATGCAAACTGCTGTTGTTATAGTTTGAAAAACAGTAGCTTTAACATTTAGAATATACATTGTTCAACCAACTTTTGTGGAAGTGAGCAGAAATGTTTATCTTGCCAGAGTTACTGTAAGTCTGACACATAGTGACAAATTCATCTCCTTTCAATGTACAAATATTTCCACCCCCACAGAAGAAACACCAACACAGCAGCTTCACTGATAAGCTTTTCGCCCTAAGCTACTGAAGCATTCTAATCAGAACGAGCAGAGGCTGGATCCAGTCCAATCTAACTTGAGCCTTGTATTTATTTTTGAATCCAGGATATCCCATATACCACTACAGAAATACATTTTCATCAAACAAAGGCCTGATATGCAGATTTGTAACTGAATTATCTATATTAATAAAGACAAAATGTTCGCCTGTGTGTGTCTGTCAGAACGCAATAACCGATTGATGTAGAGACATGATTTATAACTGATCGGTAAGGTCTTGCATGGCGGAGTGTCAGGAGCATATTTGGGGGGGGGAGGGAGGCGGATATCTCCTCTCGTTGATGAGATACATTAAAAATATATTTTAAAAATTAATTAACCCCCAAAAAGTATACATGGTATGCTGCAACAAAGTAGCGAGAGAGGTCATGCACCCTTCTAGAGAAATACATCTATCTATATTAATAAAGATGAAATGGCCGTCTGGCTGTCTAACCAATTGACGCGGAAACGTGATTTATACCTCATCGGAAAGCTCTTGCATGGGGGTCTCATATCATGACCTAAACAAGCTTATCACATATGTATGGTCTCCAACCAAGAGCCCCCCCCCCCCACCCAACCAAGAGCCCCCCCCCAACCAAGAGCCCCCACCCCCCCAACCAAGAGCCCCCACCCCCCCAACCAAGAGCACCTCCCCCAACCAAGAATCCTCCCAACAGGGGTCCTCCCGCAGGGGTCCTCCCAAAAGGATATGTGTGCAAATATGTGAACATGAGATGCTAATGAGTTCAATAGAACATTGTCTTAATCTTAACGGATAAAGATGCCTAAGAAGCGAAGATTAAGCTTTTCAAGGACAAATAAAAATGCCAGTGGAAATACAGAAAGCCAATTATTAAATTGTTTGCAATCCAACAAGAAATATTGGAATTTTAGTGAGTAATTATTGACCATTTTCAGGCTGCCCTCCCGCCATCCTTTGGCATATTGGTTGGGAGTAAAGACAGATAAAATGCATCTTTTTATCTACCAGCAGAAATTGCCATTGCTGAGTGTGACAATGGTGAACTGCGTTTCACCACTTCTCAACCAGATTGCGACCTCCTGCAATATGAGATAGGCTGCTGTTCCAAGAAGCAGCTCTCCAATCAGTCAGAGCAATGACAGTAGTGAAATGTTTGGGGTCAACCATTCTCAACTTTCCTACTATGTTTCTCCATCAACGTGAATCAATGTCTGTTAGTTTCATTTACTTACCACTACTGCATTCATAAAGTAGCCTCCCATAAGTGCATAGCCTCCACCTGAAGCTCCAACCAGTCCTTTCATAGGATCAAATATTGAGCTTGCTAAAGAACCTGCAACAAGACCATAAGAAGGAATTAACAAAAGATCTTGTTGAATAGCCAACACTTGTTTGTATTAGAAAGCAAGTACTTGGCTGATCAACATTAATTAAAGATAATTAAGTCCTAATTACAAAATAAACTAAATTCCCATTACAATGCATGGTAAACACCACACTCAAAAGTTCCAGTTATGTAAGTAAGAAAACAGAATGCAAACCTCATTTTTGGTTTGATTTTCAAAGACACCAAAATCGGAGACACAACTGCAAACCTGATTTTGTAATACATTTATTTGTACGATGTTGGCAGAGAACTTCAGAGAAGATTCTCTGTGTGCCTGCACTGAACTTCTCCAACAATCTTCCAAATCAATTTATTTCAGATTCAGCTTCTGCATTTGACTTTGGCCATAAATCACTTGTGGCATAAATGACATATAGGTCTCATCTCCTCAAACAAAACTACTTTGCCTATTTGTTTCCCTGAAGGTACCTCCACGTAAATAATTTTACACACAAACTTTATCAGAAGTGCATGCATCTGCGAGTCAAAAGTTCAACCCGTCAGAACAGGGAACATTAATAATCCAACACTCCATGATGCTCACACTTTGTTATTAGGCAATAAGAAGTTGGACTTATGACATTATTAATGTTCTTTCTTCTGCTATTATGAGGTAGAACCATGGAAAGAGTTGTCTGAAATGAACCTTTGCGGATTGTGAGCTAACACTTAAGGCTTCCCATTGTCACCCATCCTGTCGATGTTTTCATCAATGACATGTTGGATGGCATAGAGGTGTAAGGACTAGGTGTTTCCGTTCCAGGTCTCTCTGACAGGATTTCAGCTTTTGTTTACAGATATTGTGCTTGTGACTCATCAGGAAATCTTCTACACTCCACCCGCCATCTTGAACACTAGACCAATAGGGAGGAAATGGTTGTGGGCAGGACCGGATTAACCAGCAAGCCAGGCTTCCCCATGGCTTAGAGACCCGAGGCCTGAGGGGTCCCGGCTATGATTGATGCCTTTCTCTCCTGGCTCCACCTCTCTTCCCATCGTTCTCCGCTGTGAGGCATGGGGCGGGGCTGGAGTCATTTCTCCAGGAGGTCAGACCAGGTAAGAGGTGGTGTGGAGAGCAGGAGCCATGTCTAAACAGCAACAACAAAATTACATTTGTATAGTGCCTTTAGAGATTTGTGACGTTAAAAATGATTTTGAAGCAGTCAGTGTTGATCAATTTGTGTACTTTCTGGGTTTCATATCACATATTATCTATAACAGAATCACTTGACATTAGCAAAGTCCAGGATCAAGCAGTGAGATTAGTTTGTGGCAAACACGGGAAGTGGCTGCAGTCAGGGAGGGCTCCGACCTACAGTGACCTGTCGCTGAGCACATGGAGGCAGAGGCGTCTTCGCAGTCTATTTGCCAAGACCCCTCACATGAGGACCTGGAGTGAGCAGCTGGTGCTGAATAAGCCTTCTACACGGCATTTGTAGAGTCCTGTAGCTCAGTGGTTAGAGCACTCGCTTTGCAAGCGAGAGACCTGAGTTCAATTCCAGGCAGAGGGCGAAACCTTGGGCAAGTTTCCTTACTCCACACAGAGCCTAATAATAATCCCTCCAAAACCAAAAACAATAATAAATTGGTTATTTTCAATCTACGACTGTTTGTGGGACATTGCTGTGCGCAATTGGCTGCCGCGTTCGCCCACAAATATACAGTCAATTCACTTTACAGTATATTCTGTGAAGCGCTTTGGGACGTCCTCCCGCCGTGAAAAGCGCGATATCAAATGCAAGGATTATTATTATTACACTTGGACCTCGAGAACATCACAGTAGCTAACACAAGCCGTCCTGTAAACATCCTCTCACCATCCTAAAGGCAAATGTCCATTAAATAGCTGATGAGGAAACTCTGAGACTTGGGGCGACAGCTGCTGGAAGGCGTTACCTGGATCAGAGTTTGTACGTCCAGCACCTGGACCCTACCGTGATTGGCTGCAGAGAGGCCAGCAGCTGCTGCTTAAACTCCACACCTCCAACTGGGGAACCATCGCTCAGTGGGAAGGGACGTGGCCCGAGCTGCGGGCAATGTCTCACACATTTCATGCTGAGCTGTGCTGCCCACCAGGAAGCTCTCAGGGAGTTTCTGATCCCTACCATCCACCTAGTGAGTCTCAAACCCACGCTTGTCAGATGTCAAACAAGCAACTAGTGACTATCCGACTTGGGGAGGGGGAAGGTGGGGCCTCCTTGGAGCTGAACTGGCTAGGAGGTAACATGCCTGGAAATGGAATGTGTGAATCAAGCCAGCCCTCTGTGACAGTCTCTTGTCCTGTTTCTGAGTCAGGCGGGTCCTCATTACTTCAGGGCACTGCTGATGATAGCGCAGCCCAGCCTGGCTCATCCTCAGGACCTGGAAGGGCAGACCAGTCACGAGGGGCAAGAAATCCTCCTACACAGCTCCTGTTAATGCTGCAAGCCAAAGCCCTAATGGGTAGGGTGGTTCTAGCTGAGCATTCAACAGGAGAGTTTGACAACATCATCTGCCATGTGTCTACGCATTTTACCAATCTGATTACGTCCTCTTGCAGTCTGCTACTATCCTTCTCACCATTTACTATGTTTCCTAGCTTAGTGTCATCTGTAAACTTGGAAATTGTACTCCCTATACCCAAGTCTAGGTCATTTATATCGATCAAAAACAGCAGTGGCCCCAATATTGACCCCTGGGGAACACCACTGCACATTTCCATTCCAGTCAAAAAAACAACCATTCTCTGCTCTCTGTCTCCCAGCCAGTTCTGTATCCGCTGCCACTGTCCCTTCAGCTCCCCTCTCGACTCTCTTCCCCCTCCTCGCTCCCTCCCTTCCCTCCCCTCACCCTGACCATTTCCCCCCTCCTTGCTCCCTCCCTTCCCTCCCCTCACCCTGACCATTTCCCCCTCCTCGCTCCCTCCCTTCCCTCCCCTCACCCTGACCATTTCCCCCCTGCTCGGGTCATGACCCAACTGTGCAGCGCCTTGGGACGTCCTCCTGACGTGAAAGGCGCTTTATAAATGGAATCTTGTTGTTGTTGTTGTTGTTGTCCCTTTAATACCGGGGGCTTCTATTTTGCTTACAAGTCTCTTATGTGGCACTTTATCAAACACCTTTTTAAAATCCATATAAACTACATCAACTGCACTACCTTCATCCACCCTCTCCGTTACTTCATCAAAAAACTCTATCAGGTTTGTTTGCCTTTAACAAATCCATGTTGGCTGTCCTTTATTAACCCAAAGTTTTCTAAGTGTAAATTTATTTTTTCCTGGATTATCGTCTCCAGAAGTTTCCCCACTACTGACATCGACTGACATCTACTAACCCCTCCCCATTTCCCCTCACGCCCCAGCCCTATTGATCCCTCCTCCACACCTTCAAACCTGTCTCCCCTTCCTCTCTCACCATCACCATAACCCACATGAAAGCCACCACCTGCTCCCTCAACACCATCCCTACCCCTCTCCCAGCTCCACCTCCTTGCCCCTCTACTCAATGACATGATAAACCTCTCTCTATCCACTGGTATCATTCCCACCGCTTTAAAAACGGGTGATGACTCACTCCTATCCTTAAAAAACCCTCCCTAGACCCATCCCTGCTCTCAAATTACCGCCCCATCTCCAACCTCCCTTTCTTTTCCAAGATCCTGGAACGAGTCGTTTCTTCCCAGCTTTGCTCCATTCTATCCCGCCACTCCCTTCACGAACGTCTCCAATTGGATTTCTGTGCCGCCCACAGCACAGAAACAGCTTTGATCAAAGTGACAAATGACATTTTGTCCATCAGCGACGAGGGCTCCTTCTGCCTGCTCGTCCTCCTTGGCCTCTCTGCTGCCTTCAATACCATTGACCACTCTATCATCCTCCATTCCCTCTCCTCTCACCTCAACCTGCATGGTTCTGTCCTTGAATGGTTCAGATCCTACCTATCACACTATCTCCACTTCATCTTCACAAACGGCTTCTCCTCTAGCCCCCGCATCATCTTGTGCGGCATTCCTCAGGGCTTTGTCCTTGGTCCACTCCAATATCTATATACTCCCTCTTGGTGACATCATCTGGAGACATGGGGTCAACTTCCAATGACCTATCCTCCTAGATCACTCTTCTCCACAGCTCCCTCTCTTCCACTCTTGATTCCCTCGCTCCCTCCTAGCAGTGTCTCACTAACAGTCACTGAGTGACCAAATTATTTGTTTTGAAGAGATTATTAAAATGCCCATGATTTTCCTCCAATTCATTTGGAGGAGGATTCCCCATTAATTACACCGGACTGTTTGCCACAGAACACTGTATACAGGCTACCGTTAGCAATAGGTGTCAGGGATTCTTGGTCAAACTGCTCAGTCGTAGATTGTTTCTGTTAAAAATGATCATTTTCAGGAGTCCAAAGTCCTGAGAATGGATCAAGTAAATGGAGAAAAGAAACATGCTCAAGTCCCACACTGGAGTAGGGAGAGGAGTTGACAGGTTAATCAAATCCCAGCTTCTCTCAACAACAGCAACAACAACAAAATTACATTTGTATAGAACCCTCCCATGACAGGAAGGCACTGCTAGAGTCCTTGATAGCAGTTACAGAGTTATTGAGGAACATATGGATTTGGGACAGAAAAGGGTAAAAAGTAAACCTCCGTCTGACAGAATTCCAAACAACCTGTACTGGGCCTAAACTAACATTTTGTTTAACAAAGTTCCAAAAACGTAGACTCCCAGCTCTGCTGGGATGTGGCCACAGCGACCAGTGATCTCCAATGTGATTCGGATTGTTTTAATTCCACGAGCAAAAAATAATTTGCTGCCTTTTGTTCATGTGGATTCAAACATTACAATTATAATTATAATTATAATTACAATTATAATTATAATTATGGCACGGCAATTACGCTTAGCCGGAAATTCCGCATTCCCCCTTTCCCCATTAGTCTGCTTTGCTGACGTTTAAGTGTAATCGGGAGGTAAATATACCAACTAAAGACCGTTGTCTACCTCTTTAGACATTTGGGGTCATTAGTTCTCCCTGCACGAGAGTCAAAATCACATGCCTTCCTGCACATCCACATGTGACCTTGGATTTGCTTTGTTTTTCCTTCCCATTGTGCCCACAGCACAGAAACAGCTCTCGTCAAAGTGACAAATGACATTCTGCCTCCTCGTCCTCCTTGACCTCTCTGCTGCCTTTGGTACCATTGACCACCCTATTCTCCTCCACTGCCTTTCCTCTCACCTCAGCCTTCATGGTTCTGTCCTTGACTGGTTCAGGTCCTACGTCTCGCACCATCTCCACTTTGTCTCCACAAATGGCTTCTCCTCCAGTCCCCGCACCGTCTCGTGCAGCATTCCTCAGGGCTCTGTCCTTGGTCCCCTCCTCTTCAATATCTGTATGTTCTCTCTTGGTGACATCATCCGCAGACATGGGGTCAACTTCCACATGAACGCGGATGACACACAACTCTACCTCTCTGCCTCTACCTTGACTCCAGGACCCACTGCTGTCCTGACAGAATGTCTGTCAGACATCAAGTCCTGGATAAGAGCTAATTTTCTTCAGTTGGATGTCAACAAGTCCGAGGCCCTTCCTGATTGGCTCCCGTCAGCACCTCCTCAACTCAGGCACTGACAGCATCACCATCCAAGGATGCACACTCCACCTCACTGAGCCAGTACAGAACCTTGGTAACTTGTTTGATCTTCAACTATTCTGTCTCAGCCACATCCATGCTATTACGTGCTCTACCTTCCCCCACCTAAGCAACATTGCGCAGCTTTGCCACTGTCTCAGACCACAGGCCGCTGAGACCCTCATACACGCATTCATAACATCCAGGCTTGATTATGCCAACTCCCTGCTTGTCAGCCTCCCCAACTCCTCCCTCCATAGGCTGCAAATTATCCAGAAGTCTGCAGGCCGTGTCCTCTCCCACACCAGGTTCCGTGATCCTATCATCCTCATCCAACTCCACTGGCTTCCCATCACAAAGAGGATACAATTCAAGATTCTGTTCCTCGTCTTCAAAGCCCTCCATGGTCTTGCTCCCCACTACCTCTGTGACCTCCTAAACCTCTACCAACCTGCCTGCACTCTCTGCTCAGCGGGCTCCAGCTTGCTTCACGTCCCCTGCCATTGGTGGACAGGCCTTCAGCCACTCTGCCCCACCCTCTGGAACTCCATCCCACAGACCCTCTGTCTTGCCTCCTCCCTTGCCTTCTTCCAAACCCATCTCAAGACTCTCCTCTTTGACCGTGCTTTTGATCACTCACCTTCAACCCCTGCCCTCCACCCTCCCCGATCACGACCACCAGCTCGGGTATGAAACACTGATTTTCCAGCCTTGGGATATCCTTCCAACATGAACGGCGCTATACAAATGTAATTTGTTGTTGTTGTTAGGCTGACTGGTCTGTCATTCCTGGGTTCATCCTTCTGCCCCTTTTTGTACAAGTGAGCAACATTTGCAACCCTCCAGTCCTCTGGCACCACCTCAGTATCCAAGGAGGATTCAAAGATTGTAGCCAGAGCCTCCGCTATTTTCACTCTTACTTCTCTCAGTAACCTAGGATGCATCCCATCTGGACCAGGTGACTTATTTACCTTGAGCGCTGTCAACCTTTTTAGTACCTCCTTTCTGTTTATTCTTATCCTATCTAATTTCTCTACCCATGTTGTCTGGGTTTTCGCACATTCTATGTACTGCACTGCAGGGCAAACGTTGGTCAAGATTCCTTGCTCCACATGCCTCTGTTTCCGGGGGTAATAATTCCTTTAAAAAAATTGGTCACTCAATTCACAACTGTTTGTAGGACGCTGCTGTGCACAATTGGCTGCCGCGTTTCACCCACAAAATATATAGTCAATTCATTTTACAGTATATTCTGTGAAGCCCTTTGAGATGTCTCCAAGACGTGATAAGGCGCTGTATCAAATGGAAGGATTATTATATTATTATTTTACCCTCTCTTCCGATACTGTGGCATTGGCTGCATCCTCTTCCTTTGTGAAGACAGATGCAAAGTACTCATTCAGTACATCAGCCATGCCCTCTGCCTCCACAGAAGATTTCCTCTTTGGTCCCTAATTGGCCCCATCCTAACTTTGACTAACCTTTTATTCTTCATATGCTTGTGAAATAACCTTAAGGTTCCCTTTTATGTGACCCGCTAATCTTTTCTCATACAATCTCTTTGCCCCTCTTATTTCCTTTTTCACTTCTCCTCTGTACTTTCTATATTCTATTTGATTATCTTCTGTATTTTGGACCTGACATTTATCATAAGCCTCCTTTTTGTGATTTATTTTAATCCCAATATCCTTATTCATCCAGAGAGGTTTGGATGCCCTACCTTTCCCCTTTGTGGGAATGTATTTGTTCTGTCTCCGAATTATCTCCTCCTTGAAGGCTTCCCACTGCTTGTTAGCTGTTTTACTTGCCAATCATTCTTTCCAGTCCACCTTCCAGTTCCTTTTTAACTCACTGAAATTAGCCTCTTCAAGTTGAATATCTTTACCATTGATTGTTCCTTGTTTCTTTCCATAAGTACTCTAAACCTAATGATGTTGTGATCACTATTGCCCAGATGCTCTCCTTCTGAAACCTGCTCCATTTGCCCCAATTCATTCCCCAGAACTAGATCCAGCACTGCTTCCTTCCTCTTTGGGCTGGAAACATACTGATCCAGAAAGTTCTCCTGTGCACATTTCAGGAATCCTTCCCCCTTCTTTCCCTTTACACTGTTTTTTCCCAGTCTATGTTAGAATAATTGAAGTACCCCCTTATCACAACTCTACTGTTCTGACATCTTTCTGAAATTTGTTTGCAGATTTGCTCCTCTTTCTCCTTCCCACAAAAGAGGTGTCTATTCAGAAGTTGCATTTGCTATTACGGCAAATTGATCGGAAGTTTAATGTGTTTATCTTAAAGTTGTTCCCAATATTCTGGTTAAGCCACAGGGCAGGAAAAGTGCCGGCTTCCAATAGAATTATGAAGCAGATAACAGTTCCATTGATTACCTGAACCTGCAGATTAACAAAAGATCAATTATTCTATGTTTTTGTTTGCTATGTGTGTATCCTCTAGGGAAGGGTGAGATGATAGGATGGATACTGTGTATGACTGAGATCAAATTAGCTAAGGAATCATCTTTACCCAAACCTACCTTGTGAAACCTTGAGCAACCTCATTTGAAAATGTTCCCATAAATTCAAGACCCAGATGGGAGTTAATCTATACCAGTTGCTAATCTATACTAGTGGGGAACCCAGATGGGAGCTAATCTATACTAGTTGGGATGGTTTTATTGTTGGGTTAGGGTTAGTAATGCCATTATTCCCACACAGTTTAACAAGAGTCAAAATGGCACTCTGAATCATGCTCACTACACAAGATTATGCCTGTGAACCTGAGAGCATGACACTGCAATTTCCTCACAGATAATTCATCCTTTCTAACTGCCTCCTAAATAAACATTTTCTGTATGAGATGCACGTTTCAAGGCCATCAAAGCTAATCGAACCATTAGAATGACTCACCTCCAAGCACACCTGCAAGGTAGACCAGACCAACTCGATGGCCTTTATGAACCAGCTCTAAAGGAATTCCCAGAACAAGCTGCAAAACAAGATTTCCCATTATGTGCTCAACTCTGGAGGCACAAAGGGAACAGATACCATATCGTCATTTACCACAGACATTTATGACTTCTCTAAAAGCAGCACTTATATTTCTGATCCACCCCACCCTCAGATGAACGAATTTAAAATCTTCGTCTTCACTTTTAAAGCCATCAGTGGCATCGCTCCTCCCCACTTCTGCAACCTATTAACACCATACCAACCTATTCGCTCCCTCTGCTCGGCAGGCTCTAGCCGGCTTCATGTCCCCCGCCCTGCCACTCCACCATTAGCGACACCAATGTGCCAATAACAATATAGCACCCCACACATAGGGTAGCTTCTCAGAGTGCTTGACAGTTGCATAGCCTGACGCTGAGCCACAGGAAAGTGTCCATAAGCACGGTCAAAGAGGAAGATCTTCAGGTGCGACCGGACGTTGGGGAAGGATTGGACAATGTGGAGCGTTTGAGGGAGAGTGTTCCAGAGTTTTGGGGCATAGCAACTCAAGGTGTGGCTGCCAATAGTGGAATGGAGGGCACGAGGGCAAGCATCGGGATAGAAACCATAAGCAGAGACTAAGTGAAGGTGGTTTGTTAGGTAGGACTTGAACCAGGTCCCATAAAGTGGAATGAGGGAGAAGTAGTGGATGAGAATGGGGTCGTCAACTGTGTCGAACACACTAGAGAGGTCCAGAAGAATGAGGAGGCAGAGGAAGCACTGGTCACAAAGAGAAGATAGTTTGTGACCTTGAACTCTGTGCTGTGGGCAGGGTGGAAACCAGACTGGAGGGGCTCGAGGATGGAGTGGAGGGAGAGGTGTGAGCAAAACTAACTTGCAACAACGCATTCCAGAGCTTTGGCAAAGAAAAGCAGATTAGAAATGGGATGGCCATTTGTGAGGTCAAAAGGGTCGAAGGTAGAAAGCTGATGCCAGGGATGAAGAAACCAGGTGATTTAGGAAGACGATAGATGGAGGAGGATTTTGAAGGTAAGGGAAGGATGGTACAGGGTTATATGTTCAAAGGAGATGAAGAAATCAGAGGAAAAAAGGGAAAAGACCGAGAGAAGTTTGGAAAATATTGGCCACCCAACCTCCACATTGGGGTGGGGATGTGGTCAAAAGTGTTCCCTTGCGGGGAGGCTTCAAAGAGGGGCACTGGGGCCAGCCAGGTTTCTGTGAGTCTGTGGTAGGAAGATATCCAATTAAGCCTGATTGGAGACCAGCCCTTGTTAGCTCCCTTTGTAGTTCAGTTGAGTGCCAATAACCATAACCATCAAAAGGCAGTGACAGGGTTTATCCACCTGTCACAGACCCCAAGAATGTCTATGTGCCCGTCCAGGGTAAGGTCATACAACAACAACAAGATTCCATTTATTGAGGCCTTTCACGTCGGGAGGACGTCCCAAGGCGCTGTACAGTTGGGTCAGGACCCAAGCAAGGGGTAAATGGTCAGGGTGAGGGGAGGGAAGGGAGCGAGCAAGGAGGGGGTAGAAAGTCGAGAGGGGAGCTGAAGGCACGGTCAAAGAGAAACATCAAAACAAACCACACTTTAGGAAAGATATCAGGGCCTTGGAGAAGGTGCAGAGGAGATTCACAGAATGATATCAGGAATGAGGCACTGCAATTGTGTGGAGAAACTAGAAAGGCTGGAATTATTCTCCTTGAAGCAGAGATGGTTGAGGGGAGATTTAATAGAAACAGAAATACAGAAACGGGAGTCGGCCAATCAGCCCCTTGACCCTGTTCTGCCATTCTATAAGATCATGGCTGATCTGTACCTCAACTCCAATTACCCACCCTTGCCCCATATCCCTTGATACCCTGACCTAACAAATATCTATCCACCCCAGTCTTGAAAATTTGAATGGATCCAGCATCCACAGCCTTTTGGGGGAGAGAGTTCCATATTTCCACTACACTTTAGGTGAAAAAATGCTTCCTGATTTCATTCCTAAATGGCCTAGCTTTCATTTTAGGATTATGCCTCTTTGTTCTGGATTGCCCCACCCGAATAGTTTCTCTTTATCTATAGAATCCCTTTATTATTTTAAGAACCTCAATTAGATCACCCCTCAACCTTCTAAACTCTGGTGAATCTGGTTCCACCCCCTCCAGAGCCAATATATTTCTTCCTGAGGTGCGGTGCTCAAAACTGAACACAGTACTACTGATAGGGTCTTACCAAGGCTCTATACAGTTGAACCATCATGTCCTATCCTTTATATTCCAGCCCCTTGAGATAAAGACCAACAACCTATTAGCTTTTTGATAACTTTTTGTTCCTGTGAGCTTGTTTTTAGTGATTTGTGTATGTGGACATCCAAATCCCTTTGCTGCTCCACAGTTGTTAGTTTCGCACCATTTAGAAAATATTCTGTTTTGCTATTTTGGGATCCATAATGGACCTCACACTTCCCCACATTGAATTTCATCTGCCACAGTTTTGCCCACTCACTTAATCTGATTAAGGCAATATAAGTTGATGGTACAATCTTAAAGGGGGTGAAGGAACAGAGAGACTGGGGGTTCATATAAATAAATCTTTGAAGGTAGAGGATAGGTAGATAAAGCTGTTAAAAAAGCATATGAATACTAGGCTTTATAAATAGGGGCATAGAATACAAAAGTCAGGAAGTTATGATGAACCTTTACAAAACACTGGTTAGGCCTCACCTATGGGGAATGAGGGACTTCAGTTATCAGGAGAGGTAGAGAAGCTACGATTATTCTCCTTGGAGCAGGGAAGATTAAGAGGAGACTTAATAGAAGTTTTCAAAACGATGAGGGGATTCGATAGGGTGAACAAGGAGAACCTATTCCCACTGGCGGGTGGGTCGGTAACCCGAGGACCCCGATTTAAAATAGTTGTTAAAAGAAAACAGAGGGGAGGTGAGGAGAAATGTTTTCACACAGTAAGTTGTTTGGATCTGGAATGCACTGCCTGAAAGGCTGGTGGGATCCGATTCAATAACAACTTTTATGAGAAGTAGATAATTATTTGGGGAGGACAAGTTTGCAGAAGAGAGCGGGGGAGTGAGATTGAATTGGAAGCTCTTTTCAAAGGGCTGGCACAGACACAATGAGCCAAATGGCCTCCTTCTGTGCTGTATAATATTCTATGATGATTCTAAGTCCTTTGTAATTTCCTGCTCCCATCTACACAACTTAATGTACCTCCTAACTTTGTGTCATCGCAAATTTTGATATAAAACTCACTATTCCTTCATCCAAGTCATTTATATATGTTACAGTGAAGTTGTGAAACCAGTGATTTCACAAAATTATGAGTAAAATTGTGAAACCATGAAATCACTGAAACTAAAGTGAGTGATTGAATGATCCAGATCAGAAAGCAAGGAGCTGCTGCACAAAGAGCACAAGTAGCCAAGGCAGAGGGGATGGTAAAGCAGGGGGCACAGTAGCATGATTAAAGAGCTACAACCCAAATATGCCAACGTCCCGACCAAAGCCCTAGTCACCACGTTATTGTTGTGTTTTTTTTTCTTGAAGGATTATTATCAGGCATGTGGAGTAAGGAAATTGCCCAAGGTTTTGCCCTCATAATTTTGAAAACTTCTATTAAGTCTCCTCTGAACCTTCTCTGCTCCAAGGACAATAATCCCAGCTTCTATAGCCTCTCCTGATAACTGAAGTCCCTCATTCCTGCTTCTATCCTGGTCAATCTCCTTTGCACCCTCTCCAATGCCTTGACATCCTTCCTAAAGTGTGGTGCCCAGAACTGAACACAGTCTCGAGCTGAGGCCTAACTAGTGTTTTATATAAAGGTTCATCATAACTTCCTGACTTTTGTATTCTATGCCCCTATTTATGAAGCCGAGTATCCCGGATGCTTTTTAACAGCTTTATCTGCCTGTCCTGCCACATGATCTACTCTTCACAAATCCATACTGACTCTCTTTGATAAGCTCATATTTGTTCAAATGCTCAGTCACTCAGTCCCTGATGACAGATTCCAGTAACTGAAGTTAAGCTGGTAGGTCTGTAGTTACCTGGTTTCTCCCTTCATTCTTAAATAATGGAGTGACATTTGCACTTTTCCAATCCAAGGGCATAATTCACAAATATAGAGAACTTTGAAAAATTATGATTAACACATCTGCAGTTTCTTCTCCACATGGATTATGAGAGCCTTGAGGGAACAGACATTTTGGAGGACATTGCAGATGGTGGTGTGGTGCTCAAGGAGGAGAGTGTAGCGCGGAGGGTTTGGGAGTTGTGGGGAGAGAACAACTGTTGCGTGTGAGTGGGAAAAGTAGGGAAGGGAAATTTACCAGTTGGAGGCGAGGGAAGCAGGCTTTGCAGACAGAGTGGGAGAAATGGGGCAGTCAGGATGGCTGCTCTGGGACAACCATCGACGAGTAGTGCAATAAGCCCTAACCCGAGGATGCCCAGGCTGGAGCAGAAGGAGGCTGTCGGGAGGGTCCAGGAGAGAGAGAAGGCGAAGAGGATGGTGAGACACGATTGCGTGGGGAAGTGAAGGGTGAAAAGTGGAAGAGAATGTGATCAGTGGGACTGTGTCAGACCACAGGAGACAAGAGAAGACAGTGCAGATGGATGATTAGTATCATGAATGATGATTATCAAAGACATTGTCATCTTGCAGCACAAGGGTCCATAAAGTGCAACCAACAAATAATCCACCATAATCTTTCTTGTATCCCGCCCAAAAAACAGTTCTCTTTACCAGCTTTACCAGCTGTCTTTCATTGCTACTTCAATAGGTGACTACAGTCACCAGATTCAAATTTCCCTAGGCCCAACTTGGACCTTCTATCGCCTCCTCATAAAGGAACTCTGATTCCATTAATGTGTAACATGTGAAACTATTTTCTGTACAGCTTTGGTTAATTACTAAAATACAATTACTTTGCAAGCCTTACCCAGCATGCACCAGCATGTAAGAAATGAACCTCCAGACCTCCATCCTCTTGTCTGGTCTATAAATGAATGGACTTTCCCAGGTCCCTGTACCCAAGGTTATCCATTGTGTCTGGGGCATCCAAACAGCATAGTAAATAAAGACAGCCAGCTGCAATATAACGTAAAACAAATGGAAAACTCAAACTTCACCAACAACTGAGTGAAGTTGCCTTCAACTTGAATTTGTAACTAGATAACAAGGATAAAGAAAATTTATTATTATTATATTATTCTTATAAAAAAATTTGAACAATTGCAGGATTTGGACATAAAATAATAATAATAATAGTAACCCTCACCTTGGTATCCTAGAAACACTCATACTATGGGAAAATATGAATGTGTTCAATTGAAAAATACTAATTAGAGTTTATTTTGCATTAAAATTCAAGAACGTGCAAAATTGCAAAATTGTTCAACTTAGTCTTTGTTCAGAAGATATGTTGTGTGGAAAAACTGTGAGAGAATTAGGACTGAATTGAAAACATTTCCATAATTTTGTGCCAACATAATTTTACGATAAAATAATCTTATTTGTGAGTAGTTAATATAAACACAAACTCAAAGGAGAAAATCACTTAATTTGAAGGAACTGTTCCCACTTAACCTTCTCTCCTCCTATGGAAAAAGTCCTAACCTCTCGGCCTCTCCTCTCAGCCATTACCCTGAACTATGTACCACTCCATTGCTGAAATATAAAACCATAGGAATTTGCAGCACCATTCATCCCATTGTGCCTGTGCCGGTGCTCTGAGAGAGCTACCGGTTCAATTGCTTTCTCCAATACCCTTTTTTCTCTTCAGATATATATATGTAAAATTAACTCTTAAAAATAATATGGATTTAGCTGCTCAGATCCTGACCCAGACTAAGCTTCCCTTGCACATCATCCCGATCTGTTTGCCCACAAAACACACTACAATTTAGAGTTATGTGATGCATTTTGAGACGTCTTGACAACTTGAAAGGGTACACCAAAGTCAAGGATTATTATTACTACTTCTATGGCTCCTTCAGCTTCAGTCTTCTGCCTGCCCTCTCCGCTGGACGAAACTCTGGTCTACTGCACACTCCTCAGCCCTTCAACAACAACAACTTGCATTTATATAGAGACCTTCATGTGGGCGCTTAACTGTGGCGAGACTGGACATGGTACGAGGGGTGGTAGGTGGTCAAAGGCACAATCATAAAATAATCAGGTGATATTTGAAGATGGGCAGAGAAGGGGCACGATTAATAGATTGAGACAAGCAGTTCCAGAGATTTGGGGAATAAATTGTCTGAAAGCATGGCTGCCAATTGTGGAGAGTAGGGGATGAGGGACATGTACCAGCTAAGTGAAGAAGTTAGGTAGAGGAGTGGGGTGTCAGCAGTTTGGAGAGGAAGGGAGGTGCCAGGACGTGAAGAAATTTAAATCCTATTGTCGGCAGCCAATCCTTCAGCTGCTACCCTTTGAAAATCCTTACACTTTGCCCCTGTCTATCTATCTTTCAAAACTCAAAACCTATCTCACTGAATGTGCTTCATTCACATCCCTTCTTTTCCCTTCCCCCATCTTTCCTGTTTAGTGTGTGGCACTGTAAAGTGCTTTGAGATGTTACCCTACATAAAGAAGTGCTGTATGAATGCAAGTTGTTGTTGTATTTTGGGCATTTCATTTCCTAACATTCTTTTGATAATGCAACCCAATCGTTTATCTGCAAAAATCAAATTGTTATGTGGAACCTCACAGGACAGGAAAGTAGAGAACAAGTTATCTTCATGCTGTTTCCTTCAATAAGTTAAAGCTCTTGATTACTCATTGTACTTCAGTATAAATACAGGCCATACCTCAGTTATACTTATGAGCACAATGAAGATAGGTGGAGGAAGACAATTTGCTCTTTCCAGATATCTGCCTCTAGTTTCTTCAGGAAGCATCCAATTAGATACTGTTTTCTGAAACCTGTAACACCAAGAATGTGCTTGATGTGCTTCCCTGTTTTCCTCAGTGTCACCTTCTCTATTTCTGTCTGTCAGTTCCATTTCAACACCTGGGGAAATTCCAATTCAGTAAAACCTGTTAAGAAGCAAAGTGAAAACAATTATCAAGTACAGTCGTGTGCAGCTTGAGAACAGGGACTAACAATTATCATACAGATCAATAGCAGCTATTTCTCTAAAGTCTGAGAGACCAATAGGAATTCAGTATTACATTTTATTGGTTCAATATTCTGCCACCAGACATCAAAGTAGGAAATGTGCAAAATTAACCAAATTCTTAAATTCAGTCTTCACTTCAAAACCAGTTTTCTGTGGGTTCTTTTAAAAGCATATAACACAGTGAAATCCACCTTAGGCAGAAGCCAGTTAACAAAATAATTAAACAAAATGCCTGGCCCCAATTTATTTGTATTATTTATTTTTTATTTATAATTTATTTGTATTCTTATTCGTTTTAAGTATGCCGGTTGATCCAGGCAAAATGATCGTCGCTGACTGTTCTCACTTGAGCTTCTGTGTGTCCATAAACTCCATTCAGCCACAAGGGCTTCTGGGATGGAGATTGGAGTTGTCTAAGATTGACTGACAGCGGACTCCAGCCATTCACAAGCGGCTGGAGTTGGGCTGTCAATCAGTGAGGAACAGGGAAAAACAAGGAGGGAATGGGAGGAGTCAAATCACAATTGATTGACAGATGAGCTGCTTGTGAGTGGGTGGAGCATAGCCATTCATAAGCAGCTCTAAGCTGTCAATCACCTTGGAGCCTCCTAATTGTTTTTCTTCCCATCCAATGGGAACAGCAATAATAATATTAATCTTTGCATTTGATATAGCGCTTTTCACGTCAGGAGGACGTCCCAAAGCGCTTCACAGAACACACTGTAAAGTGAATTGACTATATATTTGTGGGCGAACGCGGCAGCCAATTGCACACAGCAATGTCCCACAAACAGTCGTAGATTGAAAATGACCAATTTATTATTGTTTGGTTTTGGAGGGACTATTATTAGGCTCTGTGTGGAGTACGGAAACTTGGCCCAAGGTTTCGCCCTCTGCCTGGAATTGAACTCAGGTCTCTCACTTGCAAAGCGAGTGCTCTAACCACTGAGCTACAGGACTCCACAATGGGAGGAGGAGCTGCTGGAAGGGAGGTATTTTACAGCCAAACAAACATCAATCTATTTGACTGAATTCGATGAGAGTACAGTATTTTAAATTTAACTCTAGGTTAAAATACTTGTTGTCCTGTTTGGTAAATTAACATTGCATCAAGTGAAACAACATTATTACGTAGCATCGCTCCTCTGCTGGGCAGGAAAGGTATTTTGGGGAACCTTGTACGCTTCTTAAGCCAGACAAAATAACTGTTCCCGATGTGTCCTGTTTTAATAGGCTTCCACTCTAATATAATAATACTTCTATTTGATATTGCGCCTTAATACATTGTCTCAAAATGCTTCACAGGATAAATTGTTAAAGTGGTCTGTAGTTTGTGGGAAAATATGGCAACCTATTTGCACACCATAATTTGCCATTAAGTGAATGTACCAATTTTATTTAGGGTACTGTTGGCCATGACACATGGAGAAACTCCATCTCTGAGGGGAGGTGTTTGTCTAAAAATATGCTTCTCCTGAGCGCCTTATTAAGTTGTAATTCTCTGAATCAAATGCAAGAATTGTATTATTATTTTTAAAACCAATGCTAAGAAAATATTGAAAGTCCAGATCCAGAGAGAATTTCTTCTCAGTAGACTAATGTGTGAGATTCCAATCTTGTCGGCCTTCCCAACTCTTCCCTCCACAAGCTGCAGATCATCAGAACTCGGCAGCTTGTTTCCTCTCCCGCACCAGGAACCATAACCCCATCACCCCCACCCTCGCCCAGCTTCACTGGCTTCCCATCCCTTACAGAATTGAGTTCAAAATTTTTGTCCTCTACAACCTTGCCCCCTCCTACCTCTTCAACCTGCTAACCCCTTATCAACTTGTCCACTCCCTCCGCTCAGGCTCTGGCCTGCTCCATGTCCCCCGCCCGGCCTGCCCCACCATCGGTGGTTGGACCTTCAGCCTCTCTGTCCCCACCCTCTGGAATTACCATCCCACATTTCCTTCGCCTTGCTCTCTCCCTTGCCTCCAGATGCCTCAAGACCCTCCTCTTTGACCGTGCCTTCAATCACCCTTCTACCCTCCCCCCCCCCCCCCCCCCCTCCACCCACAACCACCCCCCCACTCAGGTCCTAATCCCTGACTGTTCAGTGCCTTGGGATGTCATCCTGACGTGAAATGGGTTTACAAATGTTATTTTGTATTGTAATTAAAAAGGAAAAATGTGCAGTGTTATGGGGTAAGAGCAGGGGAATAGGACTAGTAGCCATTTGGCTCATCATGCCGGCACAGTCACAATGGGCCAAATGGGCTCCTTCTGTGCTGTAAAATTCTATAATTCTATAAGTAGAGGGTAAGGAGATGATGAAAAATCAGAAATAGTTAAAATTGTTTGGGTGTTGCCCTGTTTTTAAAGCGATTTGCTGCTTTAACAGGAAATTGCTCTGTAATGTGCATTTCACTTTAGCTAGCTGGCACATGAAGAAAAATCAACATGAAATCAAGGAAAACAAGTTTTAACATCACCCAGAATCATGTATATCCCTGTTTTCTCGCCGAGGGGGGAAAGGCCATCTGGCTAAGTTTTGTTATTTGTGAAACTTGAATTAGAGACTCCAGCATATATATTTTACGGTAATAATCATTTCCTATTTTGGGAGTTAGTTATATTTAACTACCAGGATATAGCTGCTAACCACAAGCAGTGACGACTCAGGACATCCAGAGTTGTATACGTCCAACAACTTTTCATGCTCCCTCACAACTCGTTACATGACTATCACCTTTGTTTAATGCAATATTATTTAATTTTTAAAACGCATAAGTGTGAGTGAGATAATGGAGATAATAGCAGCTTTCAGTGCCGTGGGTTGGTCCCTCCGGTCCCTCCCTCTATTTCATCTGGCTACTCACTTCCTCTGTACGTGTTGTTGTGTTTCTGCAAGGTAAACACAAAAATATTGTTTATGCAGCCCACAAATAGGGCTTCCAGCCCTCAGCAGCCAAAATGTTGGAGCCCCCGAATGAATGAAGACTTAAGAATGTGTGCTCTCATCCATCTGCTGATCAAATGTTTCTTCAAGTATATTTTTGTCAGTCTGGTATGTGTAGACTATTGCAGTTCTTAAACATTGCTGCTGTTTTTTCTGATCACGTCTCCTGGAGCTCATTATTAAGTTGAACTATATAAGAAAACGTGCAGCCGTACAGTGAAGCCCTGAGACACCGTGTGGCATGGAGGGCACTATATAAATCCAAGTTGTTGTTGTTGTTGTAATTGCCCTTTCGGTATATTAACCCTTTGAATTGTTCAATTAAATAGCAGTATCTAACTTAGAATTTTTTAGCTGCTAAAATCTGGAATGTCACTCAGGTACACAGTGCTGAAATCAGGTTCAATCCCCAATCCATCCCATTTGGAGCAGTATTTGGGGGTAATCTGTCTCAATGTCCCTGGGCTAAGGTCGGGATAAATAAGTCTTGTTGACCACTATCGAGTGATCTCTGGCAGAAAGTTTGTGCATGTGAATCCCAGATGAGAATAAGATCAGTTTTATTTGTGATGCCACAATGGTCAAACAGCCTCCCAGCAAGAAGCAGTCACATGGCCAAGACTCGTAACCATACACCAGCAACAGGAGGTTCATTCAAGAGAAATTAGGAAAAGGCATGAAATGGGAAAAGGAAGAAAAAGCCACAATCCTATTTTTGTGTATGACTTTCATTGGTCACCATTAATCCAAAGAATGTTACAAAATAAATTAACAGATCATTGCGTTTGATATATCACCTTATTGAGACGTCTCAAATCACTTCACAGGCTATACCGTACAACAATTTGCATTTATATTGGTTGCTAATGCAGGGTAGCGCCCCAGACCACTTATATTGTACATATTCTGTAAAGTGTAGTGACAGTGTATTTTGTGAACAAAGCTCAGCAACCAATTTGCAGCACAGCAATGGCACACAAACAGCCATGCAGTGAGTGACCAATTTTATTTGGGGGATTGTTGGCCAGAACACCGGGAGAGAGAACCTTCCTTCACTATTTGAAAGTGCCGTGGGAACTTTCACATCCACCTGAATAGACAGACAGGATCTTGGTTTAACGTTTCATCCGAAGATATATGACGGTGGTGGTGATGATCTTTCTGGTTTAATAAAAGCTAATGAGGATTCCTAAATAATGATTCCTAAATATTCCTAATTCAGAATCTTAACGGTTAGAGCAGTCGCCTTGCAAGCGAGAGGACCCAGGTTCAATTCCCAGGTGGGCGAAACCTTAGATTCATAGAATTCATAGAATTATACAGCACAGAAGGAGGCCATTCGGCCCATTGTGTCTTTGCCGGCTCTTTAAAAAGAGCTTCCAAATCAATTCCACTCCCTCGCTCTCTCCCAATAGCCCTGCAAACTTGTCCTTCCCAAATAGTTATCTACTGTGGAATCCTGCAGCTCAGTGGTCAGAGAACTCACCTTTCAAGCGAGAGACCTTGGTTCGATTCCCTTGGGCAAGTTTCCTTACTCCACACCTAATAATAATCCCCCCCAAAAAAACAATAATAAATTGGTCACTTCAGTCCACGACTGTTTGTGGGACGCTGCTGTGTGCAATTTGGCTGCCGTGTTTCGCCCACAAATATACAGTCAATTCACTTTATGGTATATTCTGTGAAGCGCTTTGAGATGTCTCGAAGATGTGAAAAAGGACTATATCAAATGCAAGGATTATTATTATTACTTCTCTCTTAAAAGTTGTTACCGAATCGGCTTCCACCAGCCTTTCAGCCAATGCATTCCAGATCCCAACAACTCACTGTGAAAACATTTCTCCTCACCTGCCCTCTGTTTCTTTTAACGATTATTTTAAATTGGTGTCCTCGGGTTACCTACCCACCCGCCAGTGGAATTAGACAAGTTTTCTTACTCCACAAGCCTCTGTTTACCTGGCAGTAAGTAGGAAGCCTGTTGTTTGTTGATTGGCAAATCGCTTTTCCAGAGTGCCTTAAAAAAAATGTGGTCATTCAATCCATGACTGTTTGTGGGACACGACTGTGCACAATTGCCTGCCGTGTATAAAATATACAACAAAATTACATTTGTATAGTGCCTTTCACATGGGGAGAATGTCCCAAGGCACTGACCAATCAGTGTTTTGGACCCGAGCTGGGGGGTCAGGATCGGGGAGAGTGGAGGACAGAGGGGGAAAAGAGGGTGACCAAAGGCAAGGATGGGGCTGATAGGGTCATGGAGCTGGTGTGGGAGAGCATACGGGCTGCAGAGTTCTGGATGATCTGCAGCCTGTGGAGGGAGGAGTTAGGTATTGGTGTCGGCTCTTTGAAAAGACCTTCCAAATCAACCCCACTCCCCCACTCTCTCCCCATAGCTCTGCAAACTTGTCCTCCCCAAATAATTATCTACTCTTTTGAAAGCTGGATTGAATCGGCTTCCATCACCCTTCCAGGCAATGCATTCCAGATCCCAACAACTCGCTGTGTGAAAACATTTCTCCTCACCTCCCCTCTGTTTTCTTTTAACAACTATTTTAAATCGGGGTCCTCGGGTTACCAACCCACCCGCCAGTGGGAATAGGTTCTCCTTGTTCACCCTATCAAATACCCTCATAATTTTGAAAATGTCTATTAAATCTCCTCTTAACCTTCTCTGCTCCAAGGACAATAATCCTCGCTTCTCTGCCTCTCCTGATAACTGAAGTCCCTCATTCCTGGTACCATCCTAGAAAATCTCCTTTGCATCCTCTCCAATGCCTTGACATCCTTCCTAAAGTGTGGGGCCCAGAACTGAATCCAGTCTCAAGCTGAGGCCTCACCAGTGTTTTATATAAAGGTTCATCATAACAACTAGATAAATACCTCAAAAAGAGTCAACTACAGAGGCGTGGGAAAGAGTAGGTAAATAGGACTGAAAGGACTGCTTTTTAAAAGCGGAGGCACAGACTTGATGAGCTGAATGGCCCTCTTCTGTGTATAAATATCTGTGGCTCTATGATACTCCACACATCCCAAATTCAACCCCCAGCTCTGGTGTAAGCCCTCAACTGTCCAACACTTTGGGATCTCTTGACATAAAAAGTACCATACAAATGCAATTTGTTGTTGTACTCAACAAATACTGTACTCTGAAATTCTCTCAAAACTATGTGACAAATTCTTCGCATATTTGGGGATTTTTCTTCCTGTAGAATCCAACGATCATCATTGTGATACATTCATATTGTTTTTGTCTAAATGAATTCTGTCCAAACAGATGTGATTTTGGCAATAGTTCAGGAAGTTTATTTCACAAAATTTGTTTACCCATTAAAGTGTATATTTGTGCATGTAACTCACTTTGTTTTACTAACATTAGAAGTGGGACTTTGAAACATGAACCCATGTGGAGTCCTGTTGCTCAGTGGTTAGAGCACTTGCTTTGCAAGCGAGACACCGGGGTTCAATTCCCGGCAGGGCGAAACCTTGGGCAAGTTTCCTTACTCCACACACCTAATAATAATCCCTCCAATACAAAACAATAATAAATTGGTCATTTTCAATCCATGACTGTTTTTGGGACATTGCTGCTGCATTCTCCCACAAACATACAGTCATTCACTTTACAGTATATTCTGTGAAGCGCTTTGGGACGTCGAGAAGACGTGAAAAGCGCTATATCAAATGCAAGGATTATTATTATTATTTGTTGTGCATTCTGCCGGATGATTAAATTCACACAATACAGAGCTATTAAAGTAATGAAATCAAATACTCCAGGAGCTAATTCCTGCTAAATACAAAACCGGTTTGACAATCCTCTTTAATCCTTATGGTTTGTTGGTCCTTTCAGGAAGGAAGGATCTAAACTGATGTGTTGCAGGGAGCAGGCATGAACAGGGCAGGTTACTCTATCACACCTGGTCCAAAAACCCGATTGTCCATAGCCCTGGGATGTCTTTCCGATGTGAAGGGCGCTATACAAGTGTAATTTGTTGTTGCTGTTGTTACAGGGCAGATGTAAAGTGGTTTGTTGTCAAACCTGATCAGTATTTGCCCCCAAAATATAGTCTTAGAGTATATACACTTTACGGTATATTCTGTGAGACATTTCGAAGACATGATCAGGCACTATATCAAATGCAAGGATTATGTTAATTATTATTATAGTAATGGGTCAGTAATGAGCATTTAAAGGTGCATTTTCCCACTTCTGATTCAGTCACAGGTAAGAACCAATTGGAGCCGAAACAAAAACAAATTACATTGTTATCAACGTTTGATGTTGTAGTAATCTGAAAACAGGGAGTGATCTACAAAATGTCATTCCTATCGGAATGGGATTGTTTTCTCAGCGCAGACTCGAGAGCCATGAGAATGAGGTTATATACAGCAGTAAAACCTGCTCCAAATTGTGCAACTAATTGGTGTTTATGATATTGCTGCCAGATTACAGTGAGGCTGAGAGGCTTCCTGTGGGCAAGGTTCAATGCTTGAACCCTCTTCCGAAGATACAATTTCCTGCTTCAGCTTCAAATTGTAATAAAATGTTTGTCCTTAAATTATTTACAAATGGTTTGCAGAAGCGGCGGGCGAGGGGCTGGCGAGGTGTGGGCGAGGGGCTGGCGAGGTGTGGGCGAGGGGCTGGCGAGGTGTGGGCGAGGGGTTGGCAGGTGTGGGCGAGTGGCTGGCGAGGTGTGGGCGAGGGGCGGGCGAGGTGTGGGCGAGGGCGGCGAGGTGTGGGCGAGGGGCTGGCGAGGTGTGGGCGAGGGGTTGGCAGGTGTGGGTGAGGGGTTGGCAGGTGTGGGCGAGGGGGGCGAGGTGTGGGCGAGGGGCGGGCGAGGGGTTGGCAGATGTGGGCGAGGGGTTGGCAGGTGTGGGCGAGGGGTTGGCAGGTGTGGGCGAGGGGTTGGCAGGTGTGGGTGAGGGGTTGGCAGGTGTGGGTGAGGGGTTGGCAGGTGTGGGTGAGGGGTTGGCAGGTGTGGGTGAGGGGTTGGCAGGTGTGGGTGAGGGGTTGGCAGGTGTGGGTGAGGGGTTGGCAGGTGTGGGTGAGGGGTTGGCAGGTGTGGGTGAGGGGTTGGCAGGTGTGGGTGAGGGGTTGGCAGGTGTGGGTGAGGGGTTGGCAGGTGCACAGTTTGTGGCTGTTATTTGGGGAAACGTTAAAGCTCAGGAACAGTCTCTCGATTCCAAACTTTCAGAGTCCAGTGCCGCCCTCACCCTCACCCTCACCTCACCCTCACCCTCACCCTCACCTCACCCTCACCTCACCCTCACCTCACCCTCACCCTCACCTCACCTCACCCTCACCTCCACCTCACCCTCACCCTCTCCTCACCCTCACCTCCTCCTCCTCACCCTCACCCTCACCCTCACCTCACCCTCACCCTCACCCTCACCTCACCCTCACCCTCACCCTCACCTCACCCTCACCTCACCCTCACCCTCACCTCACCCTCACCCTCACCCTCACCTCACCCTCACCCTCACCTCACCCTCACCTCACCTCACCCTCACCCTCACCCTCACCTCACCCTCACCTCACCTCACCCTCACCTCCCCCTCACCTCACCCTCACCTCCTCACCTCACCCCTCACCTCACCCTCACCCACCCTCACCTCACCCTCACCCACCCCTCACCTCACCCTCACCCACCCTCACCCACCCTCACCCTCACCTCACCCTCACCTCACCCACCCCTCACCTCACCCTCACCCACCCCTCACCTCACCCTCACCCACCCCTCACCTCACCCTCACCCACCCCTCACCTCACCCTCACCCACCCCTCACCTCACCCTCACCCACCCCTCACCTCACCCTCACCCACCCCTCACCTCACCCTCACCCACCCCTCACCTCACCCTCACCCACCCCTCACCTCACCCTCACCCACCCCTCACCCTCACCCTCACCCACCCCTCACCCTCACTCACCCCTCACCCACATCTCACCGACCCCTCTGTGGCCGTCACTATAGTTTATGTTCAGGAAATACTTTCAGATCAAAACAATCCGTCAAACACTGACCTGCGCTCTGCGCCGATCCTCAGCCCCGAGTGCCCGTCCCGATCCCCCTCCAACCACTCCCCCCCACTGCCCCCCCACCGCCCCGCCCCCCCCAACCACTGCCCGCCCCCCAATCACTGACCCCGCCCCCCAACCACTCCCCCCACTGCCCCCCACCGCCCCGCCCCCCCAACCACTGCCCCCACCGCCCCGCCCCCCAACCACTGCCCCCCACCGCCCCGCCCCCCCAACCACCGCCCCGCCCCCCAACCACCGCCCCGCCCCCCAATCACTGACCCCGCCCCCCAACCACTGCCCTCCCACTGCCCCCCACTGCCCCGCCCCCCCAACCACTGGTAGGTAAAGGGGATAAGGGAATGGAGTTCCTTCAATGTACAGAGGACTCCTTTCTTAACCAGTATGTAAGAGGCCCAACAAGGGAGGAATCCCGGCTGGATTTAGTAATGAGAAATGAACCAGGGAACATCTAGGCAATAGCGATCATAACTTAATAAGGTTTAAGATAAAGATTCAGAAATAATAATAATAATCTTTGCATTTGATATAGCGCTTTTCACGTCGGGAGGACGTCCCAAAGCGCTTCACAGAACACACTGTAAAGTGAACTGACTGTATATTTGTGGGCGAACGCGGCAGCCAATTGCGCACAGCAATGTCCCACAAACAGTCGTAGATTGAAAATGACCAATTTATTATTGTTTTTGGTTTTGGAGGGATTATTATTAGGCTCTGTGTGGAGTAAGGAAACTTGCCCAAGGTTTCGCCCTCTGCCTGGAATTGAACTCAGGTCTCTCGCTTGCAAAGCGAGTGCTCTAACCACTGAGCTACAGGACTCCAGAAAGGCTACAGAAAGACATGAGTATGACAAAGACCGGGGTAATAGATTGGAAAAATAATTTGGGAAAATAAACTGGAAACAATATTGGCAAACAAAGAGATAGAGCAGCAGTGGGAAACAGTTAAAACAGTGATCAATAGAGTCCAGGAAAAATATATTCCGCTAAAAAGCAAGACAAAGCTAAATAATAATGAGACACCATGGATAAATAAAAACATAAGGGCAAAGTTGAGACTCAGGAAAGAGAGGTTCACTAAGTACATAAACAACAAGGGAGAGCACGACAAAAAAAATACAAAGAGGTCAGGAAAATAGTCAAAAAACAACTAGGAAGGCAAAGAGAAACTATGAAATTAAATTATCAAAGAATATAAAAAGAAATAGTAAAATAGTAAAATCCTAGAAAATAAAAACCTAAATGTGGTAGAGGAACAAAGGGACCTAGGGGTACACATACACAATTCACTAAAAGTAGCAACGCAGGTTAATAAGACCATAAAACCAGGCATTGGGGTTCATTGCTAGAGGGATAGAAATGAAAAACAGGGAAGTTATGGTAAACCTCTATAGAACCTTGATCAGACCACACTTAGAATACTGTGTGCAGTTCTGGTCCCCACATTATAGAAGGGATGTAGAGGCACTGGAGAGGATGCAAAGGAGATTCACGAGGATGATGCCAGAACTGAGAGGTTATACCTATCAGGAAATGCTGAACATACTTGGACTCTTTCCTCTTGAAAAGTGGAGGGTAAGGGGTTTCCTGATAGAGGTCTTTAAAATGATGAAAGTAGACATGGGGAAGATGTTTCCACTTGTGGGGGAGACCAAAACCAGGGGCCATCAATATAAAATAGTCACAAATAGATCAAATAGGGAAGTTAGAAGACATTTCTTCACATTGAGAGTATTGGGAATGGGGAACATGCTACCACAATGAGCTTTTTAGGCAAATAGCATAGATGTATTTAAGGGGAGGCTGGAGAGGTACATGAGGGAGAATAGAATAGAAGGTTATGTTTAAGGCTTAGTTAAGGAAGGGCAGGAGGAAGCTCATGTGGAGCATAAACACCGGCATAAACCAGTTGGGCCGAATGGCCTGTTTCTGTGCTGGATATTTTAATGTCTTCTAATGTTCACCCTATCGAATCCCCTCATAATTTTGAAAATGTCTATTAAGTCTCCTCTTAACCTTCTCTGCTCCAAGGACAATAATCCTCGCTTCTCTACCTCTCCTGATAACTGAAGTACTTAATTCCTGGTACCATCCTGGTAAATATCCTTTGCACCCTCTCCAATGCCTTGACATCCTTCCTAAAGTGTGGGGCCCAGAACTGAACACAGCCTCCAGCTGAGGCCTCATCAGAACTCATAAGGGTTCATCATAACTGCACTACCTTCATCCACTTCCTCCATTACTTCATCAAAATACTCTATCAGATTTGTTAGACATGACTTGCATTTAACAAATCCATGTTGACTGTCCTTTACTAACACATTTTTCTAAGTGAAAATTTATTTTGTCCCAAATTATAGTCTCCAGAAGACTCCCCCACCTCTGACGATGGGCTCACTGGACTGTAGTTCCCGGGTTTATTCTTCTGTCCCTTTTTGTACAGGGGAGTAACATTTCAGCTAACAAGCATTTTACAGAGTAAAATAACACGTGGGTGCTAGCACAGGAAAAAAACCTCACATTCATATCATACGGTGGACGGAGCCACATGAGTATATAAGGCAATGCTTGGCACTCCTCATGATTGCTAACTAATGGTCGGTATCCAATACGTACTGACGTGTACAGGACTACTGTACAGTCAGGATTGGTTTATATTTCTTTACGAATGTAGTATCTGCTGCCAGTTGCTATAGTTGTTACATGTGCAATAGCTATGTTTGTTCCAATTATTGTATATCTTCCATTGTTGTGTTCCTTATATGCCGGGTAGCCTCGGGTTGCTAGGTTTTAATAGAGAGCTGTTGTTTCTACCCAATGTATCCTCGAGTCTCTGTAGTATTCTAGACAAGAAAAGGAGTAAGAACTTCAGAGGGTAGTTGTCAAATCGGAGGCCAACTAGTGCGAGCAGACTCCGATTAGACATTTCAGGGTATTGGGGTTAACGGGGAAAACCTGTCTGTGTGTGACTCTAACTTGGTTGAGTCACCTTTGAAACAGGGTTAGGAGAGAAAGAGAAGCCACTTGGTAGAAAAACGTTAATAAAATTTACATGTATATCAAGGGGTGAGAACTGTCACATACCAATCTGCCCAATTCCCAAGTATGTTCAAATTCTCCTGTAACCGATCTTGTTCAGCATCACAATCTACCACCTTCATTAGCTTGGTGTCACCTGCAAACTTAGCCACTGTGCTTGCGAAGTTCCCTTGTCACAGTGTCAAAGAAAACCAGTAAATTAGATTGGCAAGACCTCCCCTTCATGAACCTATATTGGCTATTATTTATCACTTTATTTTTGACCAGGTGCTCTGTGATTTCATCCTAAGTAAGAGTCTCCATAATTTTACTCACAATGGACATCAAACGTACCTGTACTTTCCTTATCACTTTTGTTATCTTTCTTGAAAATAGGAGTAACATCTGCCTTTCTCCATTCCCCCGACACCTCTCCAGTATTCAGTGATTTCTGAAAGATTTGTGCCAGTGTTTCCTAAAGAATCCTTGGATGCAATTTATCTGGCCCGGGAGATTTATTTACCTTAAGTTTACACAGCTGTTTGGCAGCTATGCTGGTAGTGATATGAATAGTGTCGCAACTTTCCTCTTACTAATTAGCACCAGCTAGGTCTCTGCTAATGGGTTATTGGAACTAAATATTACTAATTGGATACTGGTACTCTCTATCTCCACCTCTATGTAACACACATTTCTGTGGTAACACCCTGGCCAATGAGTCCAAGATGGCAGATGGAATTTAATGTGTGAAGTTATTCACCTAGGTAGAAAAAAATAGAAAAACAGATTATTTTCTAGAGGGGGAGAGATTGAATAGTGTTAGTGTTCAGAGGGATTTGGGTGTCCTTGTACACCAGTCTCAAAAAGTTAGTTTGCAGGTGCAGCAGCAACTAAGAAGGCGAACGGCATGTTAGCGTTCATTGCAAAAGGTTTAGAGTACAAGAGTAGGGAAGTCTTGCGCAACTGGAAAGAGCCTTGGTGAGACCGCACCGAGAGTATTGTGTGCAGTTTTGGTCTCCTTATTCAAAAAAGGACATACTTGCCCTCGAGGGGGTGCAGAGTAGATTCGCTCGGTTAGTTCCTGGGATGAGGGCCCCCCTCAGGCCTCCTCAATCTTCATATCCAATGCCAAATGCGAGGAGGTCATGGACCTCTTTTCATCTAAAATACACAACATCTGCCAGGCAGCCTCATCCACCTTCCTCTTGTCCTCCTCCCGCACCCCACCATCTGCTCCTACCACAACCCCCTTCCTTCATTCCTTCCTCCCCATCTGTCCCTCCTTCCATCACCTCAATGAAACCCACCACCTGCTGCCTCGATCACCACCCACCAACTTACTGGTCACCCAGCTCCCCCTCCTCTGATGATGTCATCAACCAGTCCCTCTCCTCTGGATCAGTCCCTGCCTCCCTCAAAACTGCTGTCATCATTCCCCTCCTCAAAAAATATTCCCTAGATCCCTCAAACCCCAGCCACTACCACCGTATTTCTAACCTGCCCTTCCTCACAAAAGTCCTAGAACGCGTTGTTGCCAATCAACTCCGTGCACACCTCTCCTCCCACTTCTTCTTTGAACCTCTTCCTCTGCCCACAGTACAGAGACTGCATTTGAGTAAGTCTCAAACGACATGCTCTCTATCTGTGACCAGGGCTCCCTCTGCCTCCTTGTCCTCCTGGACTTCTCCGCAGCGTTCGACACAGTCAATCACGCCATCCTCCTCCACCGCCTTTTGTCTGTCATCCACCTCAGTGGGACTGCACTCGCCTGGTTCGAGTCCTACCTCACAAACCGCCAGCAGTACATCTGCACCAACAGTTTCTCCTCCCGCTCTCACCCGGTCACCTGTGGGGTACCCCAAGGATCCATCCTTGGCCCCCTCCTCTTTCTGATCTGCATGCTCCCTCTTGGGGATGTCATCCGCAGACATATGATTCCACATGTACGCGGACGACAACCAACTCTATTTTTCCTGCCTGTCAGACCTCAGAAGCTGGATGAGCGCAAATTTCCTTCAGCTGAATGTTGACAAGA